TAATTTAATATATAATAATCTACACTACCTGAAACCCAAATTTTGGAATGTTACAAAATAAAACAGTAGGAGTCAGTAACTTCTTTTCTCACTGGGGTTATGATTTAAAGGAAAAGCAAGTATTAATATTTTTCTATGTTTCAAATTTCAATACTTCAAGTTTGCAGTTTTAATAAAATACACAGACATACATTTGAAAAAGTTCAGAAAAGTTTAAAGACTAATGCAAGTTCAAAAAATACCTGGATATCCTTTGTCCAGAATAACCTAGTAATAACACTTTATCCTTTTTTTCCCTAAACCATCTGAAAGTAAACTATGTACATCATGGCCCTTTACTTCTAAATACTTCAGTTCGACTATTTCTAATACTTTCTTAATACTGCTTTTACTGTATCACTAATGACTTAGTAACTGCTAAATCAAACTGATACTTTTTAAAAATTTACAACTGCTTTACTGTGATTTTGCATATATGAAAGTAATGTATTTGACCACATTCACCCCTTCACTTACTCTCTTACTAAAAACAATCCTTTAAAAAAATCCTTATTCTACTTCATCTGCAGCCATTCTTCTCAACATACTCCATTCTCTGATTTTCTTGTGTAACTTCCTCTCCTTTGTTCTTTTATACCTTTCCTGCTACTCCTCATACCTTTCAGCAGTTGCTCCTTCTCTCTAGCTTTGACTTACCTCTCTCCCTATGCAAAGCCCAGCTTTCCTACTTTGTCAGGTTTTTGTCCTACAATTTCGTTTTCCTGAATGATCTTATCCATGTCTATGGTATTCAGTTCCCATATATGTTGATGGTTACCAAATACATAATATATCCTGTCTTCTAGACTTACGTTCCCAACTGCCCAATAAAATCTATGTACCTAAATAATGAACTCAACAAATCCAAAAATAAACATGGCATCCCTCTCCCCATTTTAGTAAATGGTGTATCTAGTTACGTAAGGCCCAAAGATGTCTGTTTGTACTTCCTTTCCTTCATTCTGTATGTCTATTACAAATGCCAACTGATTTTCCTGCCCACATATCACAAAAATCTTTCTGGAAATTGGTACAGCCTTAGGTCACACACTCTCTGTTTTCTTTGTGGCTATGACAATAGTCATCTAATTAATTTTTCTCCACTGCTCAAAATTCATCCTCTATACTACTACCAAAGAATCTTTTCTAAAATGTAAAGTACAAATTTTACTTTCCTTGTCCTCTGATGTCTCTCCAGTTCATGTAGGAGTTAAAAAATAGCACAAAGTTTCATGTTTGGCTTCTGTTGATCCCTCTTGCCATTATCTCATAACTTTTAAGTTTTCACACCAGTCTACTCATATTCTTCAAATATGTGATACTTTCTCCTCACCTTGTACTTTTGGACATATCATGTCCTCAGTTGTATCATTTTCCCTAATTTCTTGTAAATTAAGGTTTCCTTTACATTAGAAACTCATTTTAAAATGTTTTTAAGCTGAAACATTTCAAGTGGCACTGTGGTAATTTCAACAATATTCCAAAAGAATAGCTCTAGGCAGTATGAGGATAGTTTTCTGTAGCCAAACCCATAGTACCATTGGCAGACAGGGTACATAATACCTCTGTTAATGAAACAAAACATAATTACAATGGTATTATAGATCTTAGCTCTCTACCATCAAATATACTTGCACAGACTAATATTAAATATTGATGTCAGGAATGCAGCTCAGTGGTAGAGTGCTTTACCTAGCATGTGGAAGGCCCTAGGTTATATTCCCCAGAATCAAAACCAAAAAAATTATGAAAAAAAAATGAAAACAAAAAAATCCTAAAGCCTCCTAAACTTTTAAAGTCTTCTAGCTACTGGTAGAAAAAGATTCTACAGGTCAATAATAGAAGAAATAAAAGAGAACCAAGAAAATCATATGCAAGTCACAAAGAATTAAATTTTGCTTTACAGCAGGGTAGCCCACACAGGGCAAGTTTTTAGTTTTGGAAAAACTTCTGTTAACATTTTCTCACATATTCTCAGTTCTAGACGTATGGGAGGGAAGCACATACACAGATAATACAACATGCTTGTATTAACAAAAGTTCTCAAGGCAAAGAATGGCACAGAGCACTTCAGTAGACTCTGAAGTTTATTAAATAAGAAATAACCTTAAAATAGTGTGATTTATGTAGTTAACTAAAAGTGGGTTATATAAAACCACTATAAGATACTTATAATCAACAGAAAATAAGTTCTGGCCAAGATATGGAGAGATGGAAATTGCCAGTAGGGATGTAAAACAGTGCAGCTGCTGTAGAAAATAAAATAGTATGGTGGTTCTGCAAAGGTACATATGGGCATAGGTACCCAAGACAAAAACAGAAAGCAAGAACCTGAATAGATATTTGGAAGCAAAAGTTCACAGAAGCATTATTCACAATAGCCAAAAGGTAGCAACAACTAAAATATTCATCAACAGATAAATCAATAAGCAAGTTACAACATATCTTATGATCCATTATTCAGTCTTTAAAAAGGAGTGAAGCTCTGATATGTTTACAACATGGAATAGCCCTTGAAGTCATTATGCTGAGTAAAAAAAACCAGATACAAAAGAATAAATACTGTATAATTTTACCTACACGAGGCACCAACAGTAGAAAGAATGGTGGTTGCCAGGGGCTGAAGAGACAGAAGAATGAGGAGTTGTTTAATAGGCAGAGAGTTTCAGTTTCAGAGATTAAAAAAAAGTTTGGGAGATGGATGGTGATGATACTCAATGCTACTGAACTGTTCACTCAAAAATAATCAGAATGAGCTAGGTGTGGTGGTGCATGCCTATAGTTCCAGCACTCAAAACACAAAGACAGGAAGATTGTGAGTTTGGGGCTAGTCTGGGCTACATGAGTTTGAGGTGTGCCTGGGCTACACAGTGAGACACTACCTCACAAAGACCCCTAAATGGCAATAGTAATAATAATTAGAATGGTAAATTTTGTTATGTGTACATTTTAACCACAATAAAAGAAAAATTTCAAAGTGCATTACAGGTCTTATGGAGTGGCTCAAGTGGTAGAGTGCCTGCCTAACAAACGTGAGGTCCTGAGTTCAAACTCTGGTACTACAAAAAAAAAAAAAGTGCATTACATATATATCCTTTCATGTTAAATGAGGAAACACACTACAAAGCTCTTATAGCAATGCATTCTTGACCATCAAAATCTCTATCACCTTGTGTTTATTTTATGAAGACCAGGAAGCAAACACCATTTACTGAACTTGCAGTTATTGTTCAATCTAACAGACTTCTGCTGTGATTTCTGGCCAACCTTTTACTGTTTCCTGTAATATTTGATTACTGACTTTTATCAGATTTTTAAAGCAGGCAAGACATTTTAATATGAGAAAGGAAAGTTACTTCCTTAATATAAGTGTTTCCTTCTGATATTATACATTTGATAAAAACAAAATAATTTAACAATCATATTCAATGTCTACAACCTGAAAAGCAATCTCTACAAAAGCTTTAAGGATGGTAAAGACTAAAATATATTAAAATTCCTTGTTCATGATATTTTTTATTGTGAAAAATTATATTCTTTATCCTTTGAATTCTAAAACTTGAAAATATTGTCTTTGATTACATCAATAACCCTTTTGCTCATTCTTTTCCTCTCCCCCACATCTCTCAGGTATGTCCTCCCAGTAACAATCCTGTACACATTCAAATAACATATTTGTTATTTCCAAACAGAAGTTTTTCAGAACGTTGCTTGTCAATCTTTCTTAGCTGTGTTCTTAATCCTATGATAATTATTAGAGTTACTCATACATACTTCAATTCATTTCCAGGCATGGGTAAAACTGCAGTTTTCCATCTTCCTTGAAATTAGGCCTGGTTATAAGACTTGCCTTGGACAATGAGACGTGAGTGAATGTGGGTGTATGGATGTGTCACTTCTGGTGTAGTTTTAAGAGCTCACAGATAGTTACCCACATTGTATCATCCTTCAAGTCCTTACCACCACCACCCCATTAGTAGCTTTCATTGATGGCTAGGAAGACACTCCCGGTTGACCTCCATAGGATACATATTTTAAGCAAGAAACAACCTGTCACAAGACATTGTGGTCTTCAAGTCCCATTGTATAACCCAGAACCTAGTCTACCCTGACCAATACAGTTCCCCCTTCTCTCACTGCCTGAAGGAGCTATTCCTATCTTTTAAAATCCTTTGAGCATGAACCCTCTCAGTTTCCTTCCTTATTATTCATAAACTATCAGTGGAAGAACCAGTCTTACCTTCTTTATTCTTATCTCAAGGAAAAACTAACCACCTCCTTTGTGCCTACCTCACAAATATATTATTCAAAAAACAAGGAGATAAAGTCAGAAAGACCAACAGTGTATAAACCACAGTTTCTAAACTATGAGAATACAATCTTCTCCCTTGCAAATATAAAAAAGTGCCACCTTTTAAGTAAAAGTGTTAACAAGCTGCTAAAAATAGATACTCTTGCCTATCGAGTTCCAAATCACTGTTGTCAGGGTTAATATCAAAAGCAGCGTGTTCAAGGGTGCCTCCTGTAGAAACTAAAAACACAAGCTGCTACTGGGGAAAAAAAGATTCAAGATTTCAACATCTAAATTGAAAAAGTAAGTATTTTAAAGCTATTGACACTGTAACCTTAAAGACATATATAAAATGCATTTGAAAAGGCTTCAAAGTTCAAAAGCATATTTAGATAATCAAATAAAGTGAAATACAAAACAAATGCTAATTTTGTGAGGCAAACGTGAAAAATATAGACAATATACTATATTTTGTAAATGGTTGATTTCTATACTTTATTACATGATACACACAATAACAAATTTCATTTATTGATATTTTAAAATAATTTTATAGCTACATAGGATTTTTCTCTTTGGTATTACCTAAGAAGAAATAATAAATTACTATAACTCATTTTTTCACTGGTAACTATTATAGTTAATATAAAAATTCAAATAAAATTTTTACCTTCTAAATGGTTTTTGCTGTGACGGGAGGTACAGTCCACACGTTCTATATTTAGGCTATTCAGCCTTGTCTGGTCACTAGAAATGAAAATAAAACACATACTAAATACATCAGTTATTATGGATTTTCTTATTCTAAGGAAAACAAAGGAAATATCATTTCTTAAAAAATTATTATATGATATATACTGTATTATGGATTTAATGTACTTTTTTTTTTTTCTTCTAGACAGGGTTATGCTATATAGCCCAGGCTTGCCTTGAACTCACTATCCTCCTGCCTCAGCCTACTGAGTGGTGGGATTACAGGTATACATCACTAAGCCTGACTTGATATACATTATTTAATTTACACCTCAGAACACTTTTTTTTTTTTTCAGTGGTACTGGGTGTTGAACTCAGGGCCATGTACTTGTTAGGCAGGCACTCTGCTACTTGAGCCACACCACTAGTCCTACATCTCACATTTAAAAGTAATTCTGATCTTCATCTTATAATAGGAGATCAAGGCTTTGAAATTCAAAATAATTTGCTCAATAATTAAAATGCAAGTGTACTTGTTTACAAAGTCTAGTTTTTTCTACTACTGTAGGCTATCTCCTTCCAAGAATTGTTATGAAAATTACATTGCCAAGAAAAAAGTTTCTTCAATTCTTCTTTTTTTTTGGTGGATCTGGAGTGTGAACACATGCTTGCTAGGCAGGTGCTATACCACTTGAGCCACTCCACCAGCTCTTTTTTGTGTTGGGTATTTTTGAGATAGGGTCTGTCAAATTATTTGCCCAGGCTGCCTTCAATACAATCCTCTTGATCTCTGCCTCCCAAGTAGCTAGGATTATAGGTGTGAGCCACAAGCTCCTTAATTTTTTATTTTTTATTAGTACTGGGGCTTGAACTCATGGCTATCACCTTGAGCCATTCCACCAGCCTTTTTTGTGATGGGTATTTTCAAGATAGGGTCTTGAAAACTTCTTGCCTGGGCTGGCTTTGAACCACAGTCCTCCTGATCTCTGCCTCCCGAGTAGCTAGGATTACAGGTGTAAGCCACTGGTGCCTGGCACCTTAATTCTTTATGGAAACAATCATTTTAACCAAACAAGCAACTTATTTTTGCAAATCTAGCTTTTAAAATAATGAATGTGGTCAAATACCTGCTAATACCAAATCAAGATGTTTTAGAAGGATTAAAAACAAAAGTGGTAAGACTGACCAAAGAAAACAGCTGCTAAACCCTAAGCATGCTTTAGAGATTACAAACAGAAGTCCAAATACACTGCAGTAACATAATAAATGTACATACTCAGAAATAATTGAACACAAAGTTATTTGGCTGAATTCTTTTATATTTGCTAAAGGAAAACTATCTTGGTAGATATGATATAATGAGTATTATACAGAAGAAAGCTGAGATGAAACCAATTTAGTCTGTTTGAAAACTTGTAGTACAAATCCATAGCTGATAGTAATGAAACAATGGCAACACATTTCTGTATTTTTCAAATGTCCTAAAAATAAGCAGTTGCTATTTTTGGAGCCAGGAAGTATTAAAATGGAGAACTAAAATATCAAATAAACTGTAATATCCCAGGTGTCTCTATTCTAAGTATAATGTTTCCATTATGCTTCATTGACTACAACTTTTTTTGGTGGTACTGGGTTTTGAACTCAGGGCCCAGCTTTTGCTAGGCAGATGTTCTACCACATGAGCCATACTCCTTGCCCTTAATAAATAAGCACCAGTCTCCACAGGCTAGCCAGGAGACCCCAACCTTTGAAAATTGCTTCAAGTAATTAACAAGAGGATGCTGAGGGGGAAATTATTCAATCTGTGTATTACCTGAAAGACCTAGTTTCTTTCACACCACTGATATCCATTACTGTACCATTTCCATCAATAACAGGTGAATCCAAGTTAGCAGATCCATTACTAATACGATCACTGCTTTCATATCCAGACTCTGTCCTTTGCATCTGCCAAATGTCACCATGACCTTTACTCTCCATGAGGCCTTTAGGTTTCTCTGCTGCTTTTCCATTAGATTCAAGTGAGCTTCTGCTCCCTATTTCCTGCTTCATTTCATCTTCATATATGGTCATTAAACATTTTTGCTTTAGATTCTCTTTTGGCCAATTACTGAAACCCTGATCTTTGCTACACTTAGGTTTGTTACCAATATTTGACTTATGTCTTGGACTATGCTGCCTTTTTTCACTTTCACTAAAAATACTATCAACATTTAATGTTTCTCTCATAGGTTTCCAACCTCGGTTTCGGCTTTTACTGCTGTTGCTGCTGCTTCCTTTCTCCCTAGAATCTTGGCTGCTATCTGTATCATACCCTGTGACACTGTCACTCTTAACTTTGCCTGTTATTTTCTCTCCTGGAATCTGGGATTTGCTTGAACTTAGCATTTGTCCAGATGTTCGACTCTGATGGGCAACACGGTCATGTTTACAGGGTCCTTTTCCTTGGCTGTGATATAGATGTGGATTTCCATATTGTCTAAAGCCATTTGGGGCAGGAGGTGATCCAGACTTGAAATGTGAGTGATCCTCATCAACCAAATCTTTAAAAACATAATAATAATAATTAAAAATTGCCCCAACAGAGCAATTTTGTATTCACAAGCTAAACAACTGTGTGAAAAGAAATATTTAGCAGTATAGGTAAGCAATAAAATGAAACTACATCATATACTTTTTTGAGTGCTTTATCAGGCCTATTTATGCTTAATGAGTGGCATTTATAAAATAAATGGAGTTTAAAAAATGATCTTTAAGTTAGATCATAAGATAAAATTTTTAAAAGCATACATAATCAACAAAAATCATAACAATATTTCCCATATCTTACGTTGGCAAATATTTAAAAGTTAGTTAAGCCAACTGGTACTGAGTGTGAAGGAAAATACATGCAATCACTTTGATAGTGCAGACTGGTTTAGTCTTTCAGAGCCATATTTGTCAAAATTAGAAATAAATACAACCCTAATCCATAATTCCTCTAAAAAATTTTATACTATGGCTATACAGGAAAAATAAACAAAAGTATATGTGAAATGATATCACTGCAGCAAAATTCTTAATTTTTAGTCTACCAGTATCAGTTATGGTAAGCTATATCCATAAAAAAGCAATAAACCAAAAAAAAAGTTGTTTCTAAGGAATGGACAGCTACTGTATTAATAATGACTAGGGAGAGGGTGAGAGACTGCACAGAAATGACCCCTTTTTGGTTTTATAACCTTCCTTCTTATTTGAATGTGCTCTACGAAGTAATTATATTTACAAATAAAAGTTAAAATATCAAAATACAAACATTAGTATGTCAGATTAGAATTATGTAAGATCCAGGAAAACTCTACATTTTTAGATTTATTATAAGTGTATTAGAGAAATCACACTAAGAAATATAAAATATAGTATTTAAACACATACAGATATATTAATTATATTAAAGTTAAAATCATTTTAAAATAAGATTTTTAGCAATCCCTTTTGTAGTAAATATTACAAGCTCTTAGCTTACCTCTATGGCGGCCTACATCTTTCCTTTGTCCCTTTTCTAAATCCTTCCTTTGTGAAGAAAGTAAGTTTTTCTGTTCAATAGCTTTCAGAGCACATTCTCTGGAAATGTCTTTTAGCTTCTCCTTTTGATCATTGTGGCTTAACTTAACTGTAAAGGAAATCATGCTTACAATGATATAGATGATTTTTCAAATTGTTTAGCAGAAGTTGAAACTGAGCTAAAAATGTTAAATTTCCGTATTTAAAAAAATATATATAAAGTATATAATAAACTCATTTTTATGTGTAACTAAAAACTCAGTATGATTTTTCCTGGTACTGGAGATGCATGTTATGTTTTAAAACTTCTAGCATAGTCCTAGAGCACATGTAAAGAAAAAAGAAAGGAAAGAAACATTCTATTAAAATTGTAAGCGGTATAAGTAACTCAGCGGTCACTATTTGTAAGCCACAGTTCTAAGGGCCTTAGTCACTGAATTCTCTAAGATGGGTACAATTATCATCTCCATTTCTGGCAAAGAAACTGGGGCCATTAGAAAATGGCCCCAAGTTTACACAGCTTATACATGCAGAACTGGGAATATGAATGCAAGGTATCTTCTGAAAAACACAACTTGTCTTAATCTACAAGCCATGAAAGAGGTTAAGATTTTTTTTTTTTCCTGGTGGTGCTAATTGGGGATTGAATCCAGAGCCTTGCACATGTTAGCAAATGCTCTAACACTGAACTACAACCCCAGTATTCATTAAGAAATTTTACATCTTTATTATAGATTTTTTTTTTGTCAATAATTGTTAATTCTAGCTCTTAATAAAATGGGTTACTTTTATGGGTCGGCAGATATTTTTTTAATATACTTAAAAGTCACTTACAAAATCACCCTGAACATGTACACAATTATGAATTCTCTGTATTTCTGAACCATAACTTCACCCAGTACTGTGATGCTTCATGTTGGACTCAAGTCACAGAACCTGACTTGTAAAAATTAAAGTCAAGGGATAACAATAACAAGACAGAGTTGAATAAAAATGAGGTTAAGAACAAACTAAACCTAGAGCAACTTTGAACTACTATTGCATTCAGTAAAGATTAATTTAATTTTGGCATATAAGCCAAATTATTAACTCATGTTTTTATCCTTCAAGTTGATTTTTAACTCCCCAAAGGAAAAGTCACATTGTAGTTTTCTTTGGCAACTATTCAAGTCATGTCAGGCCTACCACAGTTCTGAGTGCATGGAGAAAGTCAACTTGTCAAATAAAATTTGTCAGATAAACTAGAGCGCTCAGAAAATACATATATCAAAAGACATAAATCTACTTCTTATTTTCTCTTCAGGTTAAGGAAAGCTAGTTGAGCACCCTCCTTCAATATGGTTCTCATTGGGAATTACAGATTTATTAATTAAGGAAAGAGAATGCTTAAATGCTTAGGGACAATGTAAAAATAACAATTTCAATGCATACCTGGTCCTCTGCCTCCACTTGTCTGAATGTGACTCCGACTAAATGATAACATATTATCAGTTTGAAGTTTCTGATTTTCCCTCAGTTTTACTTGATCACTAAATCCATTTTCTTTTGAATTACCTGATTTATAAATTGCAGGCTTTTCCCATCCTTAAAAAGATAAACAAAAACATATCATTCCTTCCTTCCCATTAGGAGAAGAGATATTTGAATCAGTTTTTCAGACATTTGTAAGACTGCAAATAAAATTGCTTAAAACTTGAGGAACTGATATCACTTAATGATGTCAATATGCTTTGTAATGCTTCAAAAATGACCTCACTGTTTTAGACTATGCCAGTTTACGAAACCGTTTCAAATCTCAAATTTTATTGTTAAAAAGAGCTACCAGCCAAGCACCCCCTTTTGTGCTGTATGGCCATCACAGTGGATGACTCATAAAGGCCTCTGACAGGGAAAGATTCCTTTGTAAAGATTAACAAAAAATACTACAATTTTCCTAAATGCCACTTTACTGAAACTCAGTTTTGAAATTATTCTCAACATTGATTTTATACTCAGTGTAAGTATTCCTACTTGATTTTGGTAATAGATATACACTAAAAAGTTTTTAAAAAGAGAATTACCCATATTTTCTGCAACAGATTTGTAATGTGACCAGTTGACAACCTGCCTGAGTGCGTCCTCAGTAGAGACTGCTGTGCCTTCTGGGTTTGCATAAAACAAAAGCAGTGGCTGGAAGTGGCATCGGATACACTTGGAGACCACATCTTTCCATTTAGTTCCAACCTTTTTAAAAACCACAATGAATAAACACAAAATGAAACCCTGCAATCAATGTGTTCCATGGAAAAGCAGAGACTAATTTATAGTTCAAAAAAATTTAAAGACATTCAAATGCTAGCACTTGAATATGTACAGATATTCTAACAAGTTCAAATGCTAGCAATTCAAGTGTCTATCATACAATATGATTAATTCTATTTAATAAGTAGTCTGAAGAATCTTTTTACACATTTTCACTTAAAATTTTTTTTGTATCAAGACTTAATTGTTGAATTTTAAAAAGCTTTCAACATACATGGTTGACTGACTTTGACAAAGATTTCAAGGGAATTCAATGGAGAAATACCAGAGTCTGTCCAACAAATGGTGCTGGAAAAACTGGAGAGCCATAAGAAAAAAAGAACTTTCACCCCATTACCCATAAACCAAAAACTTACATTAAAAATTTAAGAATGCACAGAAGAAAACCAAAGAGAAAAATGTTATAACCTTAGGGAAGGCAAAGATTTCTGAGAATACCAAACAAACGGTTGAAAAAAATTTTAAAATGGACTTCATCAAAATTAATTATAATATTTGCTCTTGGAAAGATATACCATTAAGAAATTGAAATAAATAAGCAACATGCAGTAAACAAGGACTAGTGCACAAAATAAAAGCTCTTAAAACTCATTAGCCAAGAAGCAAATAAATTGGAAAAATGGCAAAACATTTGAACAGACTTCACACACACACACACACACACACACACACACATCACGCACAAAATACATATATTTATATATGTATGTAGTAACAATAATTAATAAACACATAAAAATGCTCAAAATACTATCTCAAGGGAAAACCAAATTCAAACCATAGTGAAATAATAATATACATCTACTAGAAAGGCTAGAACTAAAAAAACTACCAACAGGCTGCTGCTGAGGATAACGGAACACAAGAAATTCTTATACAATGCTGGGACAAATGCTAACTGACACATCCATTTTGGAAATAAATTTGTTAGTTTCTTATAAAGTTTAACATATACTAACAATATACCCAGATATTTCATTTCTGGGCATTAGCTAAGAGCAATGGAAAAAATATGTTCATACAGAGACCACTTATACCTCAACAAGTGAATGAATAAATTGGTGTTGGCCATGACATGAAACAGAACAATAAGAATGAAGTGCTGATACAAACAACAAGAATGAATCTTAAGGACACTGTTGAGAAAGAAGCTAGACTCAGGGGAGCACATATTGTAAGAGCCCCTTTCTGTAAAACTGTAGAATGGGCAAACCCAATCTACAGTGAGGTCAGTGATTTCTACGGAGGTGGGTTGGGGGAATTGATGGCAAAGGGCCGTGACGGAATTTTTCTGAGTTAATGCAACTTTTCTCTACATAGGGCTGGGAGTGTAGTTCTGTGTAAGTTTTTGGGTTCAACCACAGCAACATTAACAAAAAGAGTTCTATATATTCATTATGGTAGTTATATAGATGTACACATTCATCAAAACTCAAACTATGCATGTAAAATGAGTGTATTTTAATGTTCATAAATTATATATTTAAAAAACTGATTTAAAAATGAAACAAAACCAACAACCAGACAAATAACACAAACCTTCTGGTGTATTGGATTTTGCATGGAAGAGCTTATTAAAAAAAATCCTGAGTTTTTTTCAAACTATATGTATTAGCTATTTATCCTTCTTGCCTGGGATTCTGAGAAATGTGAGCCAATTTGAAAACAAAACAAAGTGCCTCACAGTGATTAATACAACTGGTTCTTCCTCCAGTTTTTGACAATTTAAACTATATAGATGCAAATTTATGAGCTCCAAAATGTTGCAACACATGGACTCAAGATGGAACTTCTTAATAAACTCCTATACTAAAGCAGTAGGTATTTCAAGCAAAGTGCTGGTTTTAGAATACCAATTTTTCCCATCAGCTTTACTGAAGTATAATTAACATGAAATGATCTAGTCTAGTGTACAAGTCAATGTGTTTTGACAAGTGTATACAATCTATAATCCTCACTCCTAAATCTTCCCATTTGCCCCTTGCAGCCTTTACAAACCAATGTCCTATTTTCTGTAACTTAAGGTCTTTCTTTTTTAGAATTCCACACAACGGAGTTACAGACTGTAATCATGTACGTCTTGCTTCTTTCTCTTACCATATTGCTTTTGAGAGCTGTCCACATTGTTACATTTATCAACAGTTCATTTTTCATTGCTAAATAAATTATTTCACTGTACAGTTACATCACAATTTTGTCCAACCACCTGTCATTGGACATCTGAGTTTGTTTCTAGCTTTGTCTCTTATGAAGGAAACTCTCACGAACACTGAAGTACAAGTCTTGTGTGGACGTATGTTTTCATAGGAGAGGAAATGCTGGGTTATATGGCAAGTATATGCGTAAATTTATAAGAAACTGAAAGACTATTTTCTGAAGTGGCTACTCAATTTTGCAGTTCCATTGGCTTCAGATGAGAGATCCATCTGTTCCGCATCTTTGCCAACTCATAGTATGGTCACCGTCTTGTGAAGTTAAGCAACCACAGTAGAATCTCACTGTGAATTTTATTTGTATTTGCCTTGTGACTAATGATACATTGACTATAATTTCAAGAGCCATTCACATATTTCTTTGGTAAAATCTCTTGCTAATTTTTTTATTAGACTGTGTAACAGTTAGTCTTCACTGTCAACTTCATTTGAGAGTCTACTCGATTAGTAAAACACACCTCTGGTTGTGTCTGTGAGGGTATTTCCAAAGATGATTACATCATGGAGGCTCTAACCTAATGAATAGTTTAAACCACTGATGGATTCAAAATATGCATAGGTCACTGAATAGGTGGTGGAATTGTAGATGTGGGGTCCTGGATGAAGTCACCAGAGGTCTGACACTGTTCTGGCCTCTTCTTGTTACTGCTCTGCTTTGCTTCCTGGCTGCCAGGAGTTGAACAACTGTTTCCCCATACCCTCCCCGCTGTGAGCTGTGAAACCATGAGCTAACTTTCACCCTTTAAGTTGTTCTCTCAGGTATCTTGTCACAACTACAGAAAACTGACTAACACAGGTTGTTTGTCTTTTTATTATTGACTTGTAATTCCTTTTAAAATATATTCTGGGTATAACCTATATAAAACACGTTTGAGAAATATTTTTTCAATCTAATACTGGTTATTTCATTCTCCTAAGAGTATCTTACTGAAGTTTTAAGTTTTAATGAAGTTCAACTCATCAGTAATTTTTATAATTCATGTTTACTGAATGCTAAGAAATTGCTACATAAATAATCATAATGCTGATAAACTGTCCTTTGTTATATATTAAAATGCAAGTAAATGGAATTCTACACCATGTGCTTATAATAACCAAAGAACTTCTATTTTTAAATCCTGCTTAATAGCAGGATTCTCAAAGGCAATAAGCCTGAGAATAGTATTTGCAAGTTTAATAGTTTTAAACTGTGCTGTCTGAATCTCCTGTAGAACTTTAAAGAAACAAAAAAAAAGGTAAGATAACTATACCTGTACTCACTAATCAAGAATTCAAGAGTCAGGTATATATGTTTTTTAAAAAGCTCCACAGGTGATTTTGACACTTCCTATTAAGAACTATTATTCACCTGGGCATGGTGCTTATGCCAGTAACCCCAGCTACTTGGGAGGCAGAGATAGGAAGATTGAGGTTTGAGGTTAGCATGGGCAAAAAAGTTAGCAAGATACTATCTCAAAGAACAAGCTGAACATGGTGGCACACACTGTAATCCCAGCTACAAGGGAGGCATAAAAAGGAGGATCTTAGTGCCAGGTCAGTTCAAACAAAAAGCATTTGAAAAATAACTAAAAGCAAAAAAGAGCTGGAAGTGTGACTCAAGGGGTAGAGCACTTGCTTAGCAAACATGAGGCCAAGTTCAATCCCCAGCACCACAAAAATAAATAAATAAATAAATACAAATAAAATGAACTATTATTCACTAGGTTTCTTAACAATGTTACAATGTTTGCATAAATAATTTACAAAAAGATATACCTGACTCCTGACTGCACATGGAAAACTTGAAAAAAAAAGTGTCTCCATAAAAAAAAAAAAAAAAAAAGCAAGCACATTTTTATCACTGTGAATCATCTACAAAGAAATGTGTGGAGCAACTACACATCAGAAAATAAAAATCATCACTGATAGTTACATATTTGTATATGAGCACTTATTAGTCAAATTTTCATCATTTTGGACTGCAGATGTAGCTCAGTTAAGTAAGGGGCTGTAAGGTTTGAACCCTAACCCTGAAAAAAAAATTTTTTTCTCCTTTTATTATTCTGGAAATGTACTGGATTAAAAATTGGCTTCAAAATAAGCTAAATTTCAAAAATAATAAAAGGAAGTTTGAATTTAATGATGCTATTATCTTTACATTCATTTATTATTAGTTCACATAATTATATCCTTTCATATATTATTTATTCTTAAAGACTAAAAAAGAATCACAGTAATTATTCTGGTCGGTGAAAGCCTTGCTTACCTCTTTCACATTTGCATCATCAAAAAATATCCACTTGGAACTCTTGTTATGGAAAGCAAAGGCACAATAATGTCGGCTGGTATAGCAGATCATACCAACAAGGTGAAGTTCACTATTTTTGGCATTTTCATCAGTAACCCTATAAAAAAGCTGTTCAGAAAATCAATAATGTATATTTAATACTGTGTCTTAAAAATGAGGACCAGTACTTTGATGAATCATGTATTTGACTTATTATAAAAAAATTTCTCATGCATACTGACCCAATTTAGCATTATAATATTATTACTGAAAGCACCCCTCACATTGAACTGTTAACAGAATTACTACTTTTAATTAGTACACAGAAACTTTAAGTCCCATAAAATGAATTCATTACAAATTAGTTCACACAACATATATAGCAACACATGACTGACACTTTACACATACTCAAAATGTGAGATAAATTATACATTCCTGATAATCCCCTATTGAATAAGATAGTTCAACATATATTAAAATATTATTTAAAGTATAATTATCTAAAATTTTAATTGTAATTTTAAACCAGTTCAAATTATACTAACCAAGCATATCAATAGATCACAGCTACAGATGAATTTTAAATCTTAAACCACCTTCCTAAATATTTATATCATATCATATCATTTCATATCATATCATATCATATCACTGTCACCATTTCAGAGTGAAAGGGCATGAGACAGTATAACTGAAGGCCATTCCTAGACTATATGGGAAAGGCATTCCACTTAGCCTGATTTGATTAAATTTATCTTATAACAGAGCACATCTGAATGTTATTATTTCCTTTAAAAACTTTAGGTTCTAAAGACTGTATTAGTGGGTCTGTCTGAGGGGACAACAGGAGGCAGGCAAGAGAAAGAAAATGTTAGAAAATGAGAAATATTGACACCTTTTTTATTTTTTATGGCAGCACTAGAGTTTGAACTCAGGGCTTCATGCTTACAAGGCAGGAGCTCTTATACTTGAGTCATGCTGCTAGCAGAGAATGAACAATACTCAAACATCCCATCTACATATGAATATAAGGTAATGCATCATAAGCTATCGAATATTAAGGGAGCATGGTGACAGAGAAAGAGTCAGTAATGGGGGGTTAATGTGATTAAAACACAATATATACAGGCTGTAAGTACCAAGGTGAAACCCCCTGGGACTATCAATATACACATAAAAAAATGAAGGACAGAAGGATAAAACAGATCTTTTCTGGGGGTGTGTACCAGTGGGAGGGGAATGAACATAAGGAAAGAGCGAATATGGTGGATGTATTTTGTATTCATATATGAAAACAGAAGAATGAAACCTGTTGAAATTGTTCTAAGAAGAGGGAAAGGGGATGAGGGAGAACGATGGAGGAAGTAAATCTAAGATATATTGTAAGCACATATGTCAATATTACAATGTATTCCCCTGTACAACAATTATATGCTAATAAAAAAAAACTTTAGGTTCTGAAAAACAAAAACAAGTGTATCATAATATAAAAATATCTTAGAGGACTCTAAAAATAAAATGAAAACAAAATCAGTTAAGATACCCCAGGAAGATAAAGATGTGTTGCTAGATTCCGAACAACATCTTCAGTCAAGTCAGAATGCTCAGAATCCCAGACTAAACCAATTGTAACAATCTCTGGGCAATTCATTAAAACGCGGCGAATTTTTATCTTTTGGCCACAATTACTCTACAGAAAAAAATACAAAAGTCAAGTTTTGATATTATGAAAACAGATATATCACAGGCAAAGTATTATACAGTTTATATTATACAAAGACAATCTTAACATATATTTGAAAGTTGTTTTTTTATTAGAAATTGATATCTAACCAGCTATTTGTCCTAATTACTGATTAAACAAGTTTATTTTAACTCAAAGTATTTATTGCTATTTTTGTACATCTGTTAAAATAAGAATTCATCTTAAAACAAGCAAAAAAGACCTTGAAGTGACTAACAATTTTAGGTGAGAAAAGAATTCAAAGAAAAAAACCTCATTAGTTAAATGATAAATTTCAGAAAAAATTCAACCAACATATGCTATCTTAAATCTTTCATAAAGCTAAGAATTTTTTGTTTGGTTCTGTTTTTGAAGTGGGGTCTTACTATATTGTCCAAGCTGCTCTTGAACTTGTAGTCTCAAGTGATCCTCTCACTTTAGCCACCCAACTAATATGTCAATATTAGGGTGGACTACACCCACCCTAAGTCAAATGTTTTTTTAAAGAAATAGTCTAAGGTAAATAGCTCATATAGCATAATAAAGTTATGTAACGTAACATTACATTAAAACAAATTCTTAAAGTTAATTCTACACATAGGATTAATATTTACATAGTAATTTCTGAATGCCTATTTTCAAATTTACAAACACAGACATATACCAGTATTTTCCAAATTATACTTACAGGACATTTTCTATAGTCATCTGTTGTATTTGCTGCTTGTAGCAATTCTGCAAACATTTCAGGCTTAATGCGTTCATGCCTTTCCATCATTCTTTCAACTTCATTGCTTAAAAAAAAAAAAAAAAACAAGGAAGCAGTCCCAATCTAGGCTATGAAATAAAAACATGTCTAATAAGTCACACATGAAAACTATCAATATATTAATAGGTGTGCATCACCTTTTCTGTGTAAAATCTGACTATGTCTTAAATAAAGTCAATTTCCCGAAGTGAGAAATTATTAAATTTTGCTAGTGTGCCATGAAAAAATTAGAACAGCTATGGAATAAAATAACATGAAATTATAGTTTTGCTGGGAACTACATGAATAAGGGTAAGATGTCCTTTTGGGAGGTAGTTCTAAAGCAAGTGTTTCTTGTACTCTATTACTTACTTAATAGGTATTTGAGTTTAAACTCTACCCTAAGAAGAAAAGCAACATTGAAGGACAGGTCCCCTCTCTGGCAGAAAGTTCTCAGAAGCAGTTATCATTGCAGTTAGGATTAAGTGCAAAAATCACAGCAAAGTTATTTAAGATAGACTTGTGCCTTCTGTTCCTATTATGAATGCTAATTGTTTTACTGGAGCTGAGGCAAGCTTTTTAGTACATTACAGGGTAACTGTGTGACTTTATTCCATTTCCCTAAGAGTCACATTTTTACATATCAACGTATTTAAAAATCTTTAAATGATTTAAACATTTTCAAAAGGAACTGTAAAAGAAGAAACATGCTTACCTAGTTTCCATTCTATATGTTCTGATTCTGCTTAATATAACTGCCCTAGATGTATTTTATGGTTCGTTGATTTAAACAACCTACAAGCATTCAATAACTAAAAGTACCCTTCTGACATACTTTTGCAAGTATACTAGAAAGCACTAAATCTGAAAGTGCAGTCAAACAAACCTGTACATAATGGTTTTACAAAACTGAGTATCACAGCAGTTGTTAACTAGACAAATTTTGTGGTCAGACAGACCTGGTTTTCAATGTAATCCATCCACTTAATAAACCTCACTAAACCTACTTCTTCATCAACAAAATCCTGTTTTATTAGCATTAAAATCAAGAATTTACACAGCCTGGAAAATTGTAACCATTCAACAATTGATACAGTATGATTACAATAAGATATTGTTAAAAAAACAGACACATAAATAATTAGAATTCAAAGTTTTCAGTCCCGCAACAAGAGATTGATGGAGATCTCATTCTTGCTATGCCTCAGAGTACCATGAGTGAGAAAAGTCAGAGAGACTACTATCTGAAGACAGAAAGACAGGAAGAGTATCAGGAATGGTGAAACAGGTGACTGGGCAGCAGAAAATCCCAGAGAAACAGAAAGCCACAGAAAAAAGTAGAGAACAGTCTGAAGCTCCACCTCACCTCTCCACTGGGAAGGTGAAGCTGAAGCCACACAAGGTAAGTCAGGTGGCCCAGGATCAGACGAGCAATTCTAGCTTTAGCAATTCCCACTTCAGGCAAGACTTAAGCCAGGGCAGGAATTTGGTGTGACAGTGACTGTTCCTATGTGGCAGGCTAGCTTTGGAGAAGAAAGACATTTTGTTTCTCCATGTATCTCTGAGAGGTATAGGGAGGCACCATCTTGAGAGAGGGCCTATCATTTGAGATGGACTTGAAAACAAGGAACAGTCACCACTCAGGAAGTCTGGAAACACTCTGCCATAGTGTCTGGGTGAGAGACAGCCAGGGGAGGTGGTTGTGGACAGGGAAAGGGTCTGATGTGGTCCCACTGAGAAGCTTAAGTAGCAGGGAACTCAGGCAGTGAAGAACATGGTGGTCAGCAGCCCTGCCTTCCTCATCCAGTTAAATTAAATTTTATAGTTTAAAATTTTTGGTCTATCCTTGTTCAAATACTAGCATACTTTTCATATGGATTGAAAAACTGGACTGACAACTGACTATAATTGACTGAAGTTTAGAGAATGTTTTTATAAACCAGTATTTTTCAACGTGTTTGCGTATGTAAGAAAATACTGAATAAACTCAAATAACAAAATGGTTATTATTCAATAATCTTTAAGGGGGGGGCAGCACAGTAGTGAATGTCTGTAATCCTAGCTACTCAGCTGGTTTGAGGCCAGCCCAGGCAAAAGTTGGCAAGACCCCATCTCAACAGCAAGCTGAGCATGGTGGTGAGGGTCTATACTCCCTACTTCACAGGAGGCACAGGTAGGAAGACAATAGTCCCAGTCTTGGGAAAAAAGCATGACCCTATCTGAAAATAACTCAAGCAAAAAAGGTTGTGGGCATGGCTCCAGATAAAAAAAATATTTGAAGCATGTGTCATCTATCTGGTATACTGATGTGCCCTGATTGTCCATGTGGCTCCTTTCATAGGGAAATTCTGTAAATATTTATGCTTTTTTTTTTTTCCAATTTCTATTATATTTCAAATATACTGGAAATATACTCTCAAATAGCTGGAAAGGAATTGATCTTTACCATGTAAGGTCTGGAGCTTATTTACAGATCCTTAACTAGCTACACTTAAGGTGATGTTGAGGCCTCAAATGCAATAACCTAAGTAAGGATTGCATTCACATTTTTCTTTTTTTTCTGCCCTTACTCTCACCACCAGGAAGGACACAGTGGAGCTAAAAGGAAACACAGCCACTTAAAAAGGGAGCATCTTAACAGAAATGAAGTAGCCACCTACACAGTTCCATCACCACTGAGCTTCTCACTTTAAGCAGCCCTTCACAGTTCCAAACACTTGCTATAAATATAAATTGATGCAAAACTTGAAATTTTGTACATTTCACTGTGATACATGGAGGTTGAAGACCCCCTAATCTGAAAATTCAAAGTTTGAAATCCTCCAAAATCTAAACTTTCTGAGTACCAAAATAATGTCACAACTGGAAAATTCATGTGACAGTTCATAGTTGAAGCACAGATGCTTTAGGAATATTGTATAAATCTGTCTTCAGGCTAAGTATGTGAGGTGTATGTGAAGCACAAACGAACAAATACCCCAAAATGTGACATTCCAAACACTGTTGGTGCTAGGCTTTGGATAAGGGATGCTAACCTGTTTTGGCTAAATTACATGGATGCAACTGAGATAAACAGCTCTCAGTACCTCCTGTGGCACATTTGTGAGGCTCACCAGTGAAGGGAATTCACACATTATGGTTTATATACTCAATGTGCATAAACGTGTTACTAACATTGTTAAACATACTTTAATAGGTTCTTACCATAGGGCTGTTGTAGAAATGTACCGCACAAATTCTGTAAAAGGTAGAGGATCTGACGACGCTCCACAGCTACGACACACACACTATAGGTAAAAGCATATGTTTAATCTATCAATCACAAGACTTAAACATGATAGCTAAGAAAATAATGAAGCCATCTCACCTGTTCATACAGAGTCATAGCAAACTTCTGGTGAGTGATACAAGATCTAGAGGTACACATGTCAGCATCTCTGCTCGGCACAAGGTGAAAATGAATCTTCTCCAATATGTTCTCCTATTTTACAAATAAGAAGGCAAATGAAGTGGATCCCTGGTCTTGCAGATAGCACTTCAAACCGTTAACTCTTTAACTGAACAAATTTTTCAAAGTGTAAATTTAGGTGTGTCACACATATTGTTAGTTTTTCAGCTTTCTTCTCTAATCAACACTTCAAATGCTCAGTTATTTCATCTTTTATGGTGCTAGCTGAAAAAAAATGTTTAATGAAAGAAACACCATAATGTAATATGATTCTGTCATAAGCAGGAAAAACTGAACACTGCTTAAATATTCTGACAATATTATCAACTATTAATTTTCAAGTGTGATATTGATACTGTGTCATGTTTTAAGCCCTTTTCTTAGTAGAAGTATTTATTAAACTATTTATGGATAAACCCAAATAATGTCAGATTTGCTTTAATATAATTCACCCATGGGCAGACCCGCTTGGAGAGAGTAGAGATGAAACAAGACTGGCCAGGCACTGGTAACTATCAAAGCTACATTATAGGGCACAGAAGTTCAACATCCTATTCTTTCTACTTCTATATCCTCAGTATGCAACAAAATAAAACTGAAGAGAAAAAAAAATACAATTTTCAAATAAAAACTTAAAAAATCTTTTCAAAAACCAATGCACAGTAGCTGACATCTAGAATTTAATATTAGAGACTATATTAAATATATAGTTACCTATATTCCCATCATTCTCATACTACGAAAAATTCGGCAACTTAAAACAATCCCACTTGGCACTGAGAACATGACTCAAGCACTGCAGCATTTGCCTAGCAAGCATGAAGTCCTGAGTTTAAACTCCAGTATCACCAAAACAAACAAACAAACAAACAAAAAACAAACCAACCAATCAAACAAAACAATCTTACTTGAACAGGATAGTCTATAACCTTAAAATATCAATGACAACAATTCAGTATCTATACTTATACCATAATGCAAGCAATGTCCCCTTCACAAATCTGTAATACAGATCAACCTTTTTAACCAGTAGAGTTTTTTTGTTTTGTTTTTTGTGGGTAGTACTAGAGTTTGAACTCAGGGTTTTGTATTTGTATTTGTTAGGCAAGTGCTCTACCACTTTAGCTATGCCCCTAACTCTTTTTGCCTTAGTGATTTTTACAGATAGGGTCTTGCTTTTAGCCTGGGTGGGCCTTGGACCACCAGCCCCCTATCTATGCCTCTCACCATTGCTGAGATGACAGGCGTATACCATCATGCATGACTTACTTGTTAAGATGGGGTTGTGTTAACTTTTTTACTGGTTGCCTTGAACCTCAATCCTCCCAATTTCCACCTTCTAAGTAGCTGGAATTACAAGTATGTACCACCATGCTCTTTTAATTAATGGGCTCTTTTAATTAATTTTCCCCTCCTTTGCCCCAGGACATTTAGAACCATTCAATTATGTATGCCTAGATATATAGATATTTTATGAATGGTCATTAGCATGTATGAGTGCATTCCATTTAAGTGAAAGTAAAACTGTAAAGTTCAGTGTTATGAAAAATATATTTGTTTTAAGCAATGGATCAAGAGAGAAAAATATGAAGACAATCTTATTCTTAGAAATGCTGTTTAGTAGTAATTTTGACCAACATGGAAATGTACTAGACAATGCACTAGTCAAGCAGCTTCTAGAGTAAAGGCAAGATTACCGATAACATATGAATAAGAAACAAATTCTACAGAGTGTAGTCTACAGAAATTCTGGAAACTGACTGGAGTAGTTTGGTTATACATTCATTATCTGATAGGCATGACTTAATTGGATCCTTGACACATTTGTAAAGTTTGAGTATTTCAGAAACTTGAGCAAAGACTGTTAAGCAGAAATATTAAAAAAAATGTGAGAACAGAATGGAACTATCTTACTATGAAAACAAATATGTTGGAGTTTAAATAAAAAGGGCCTTAAATGTCAGAAGAAAATGTCTAGATTTGAACCACCAAAATATTTGAAGATAACACACTAACCTGAAGAAAATATAGCAATCCGTAGCAACAAAAACGACCATAAAGGGACAGGCCAAATTGACGAGAGTAAGCAGACTTAAATAATCCTGAGAGCAAAGGCCTAACTTAGGAAGAAGTGATGGTAGAAATACTGCAGAAAGGAAAGTTTAAAAGCGTTTGTGACAGAAGACTTTGCTGAATAGAAACGGGACCAACAGAGAAGTAATGGCTGCAGGCACCATTACTAAGACATTTGATAATCCACATATATATTTAGAAGGTATAGAACTAAGGTCCTGATCAAGCAAACACTACCCATAAATATGGTAGTGACACAGAGACTCAAAATATCTTTTTTTTTTTCTTCAAAATATCAACCTGATTGTCAACCTGCAGTGTGGACACAACTGCTGGCCCTGAGAACTTCCAACCATGATCAACTTGGCAAAGTTTATTGCTCCAATAAATAAATTTTTATATATTTTTGTAGCTTAACTCTTAGTAAAAATTAGAGCAGCACAAATACTAAAAACCAAAAGTACAACATAAAACACAGATGGAGCTGAGTCTTAAGTGTAGGTAAGACATGGAGTCACTAACCAGTTCTGACACTTCCCATCTTATAAGTTTTCCATCTTTATAAATTTGTGTTTCATTTGTCTCAAAATTTGCCTCATGCAAGGAATAAAAACCATTACTCTGATCTTTTATAGATTATGAGAAATACTTACAAAGCACTCTGCAGCATCATCCATAAGGCCAAGTTGAAATCGCTGCTCATCTTTGAAGCTTTCTGCAAGAGCATGCCTTATGTTATCTGAGGGAAGTGCTTTTTCTCGACTGTGCTGAAATTGTGCAAATATTGTCTGGAAATCAAAAGTATATCAGTAAGTTTAATGGCAATAACTTTAAAAACACTTCAATAATTTCATTAAAACACAGAGAAACTCAAAATACTATACTCAGAAACCAATACAGAGCAGGCTTTTGCTCTCAAATTCCATAAAAAAAGTTAGTTATTCATGTCAGTTAAATATGGAAATGGTTGGCCCCATCACGAAGAGCGTAAGAATTAAACATTGTAGAGTTCTAAGGTCTCCTTTTAGAGACTTTTGTTAGGCTTGAGGTGGGGCCCATTTCAAACTGTTCCCCAGATGATTCTGATAAAGGTTGTTTAAGGAACAGAGTTTTGAGATAAGCTGCTGTATAGGCATGAAAATTATGTTAACTGAAAGTAAACATATAATCATACAAAAAAATGTAGTGATTTGCTAATCTTTTTTAAAAGCTAAAGTTAATTTAAATGAACTTTTAAGATTTTTTGTTTCAGCTGGCAGAATAGTTCAAGTAGTAGAGCACCTGCCTAGCAAGTGTGAGGCTCTTTTTTTTTTTGATGGTTCTGGGGTTTGAACTCAGGACCTCATACTTGCTAGGCAAGCACTCTTCCACCTGAACCATACTCTAGGCAATTTTTTGTTTTCTTTCATAAGGTTTTAATAAACCTCAGAAAATGACAAACTAATTTAAAAACAAAAATAAAGATAACTTAATAACAATTTTCTACTACTATAATAAAAGTTTATTTTAAAACATGCAAATGTACATATTATAAGAGTCACAGAAGACCTAATGATTATTTTTAAATTTTTAGGAAAACTCCCCATGCTCCTAAGTTATCAATTTTTCCTCAATGATTTCTCACCTAAGTCTAAGAAACCATGAAAATATCACACATGAATATGAGGTTATAGGTGCTAATCTGGTTATCTATATTCCTTATTGACTTTAAGCAAGAAACAAAACTTTTTAGTAAGTTCTACTTTTATGATAATCATTTCATGGGGAAGAATATAGGGAAAAGAATTTTCAGTGACAACCCACCAAATAAAAATTGGTCATATTCATTAGCTCAAGAAGCCATGTCACCTCAAAAACAAACAAAAAACCTTAAAGCCAATATATAGTAGGTTAGAAAACTATTTAAAAAATCTGTTCCTCTATTGCAAAAATAATACATGAAGGTATCTGCAAGAAAAGCTTTCCAGACAAAAAGAACAACAGTGAGAAGACTTGGGAACAGGAGCCAGCTCTGAGAAATGGAGACCAGTTTGGCTAAAGGACAACGTATGCACAGATGAGAGATTTTTGGTTGGAGCAGAGTAGGGGCACAAGCAGAGGGAAAAGGTAGGAAGGCTGGTATTAGTGACTCACTATTAAAGAGTCAAGCCAAAACCTGAAGTATTCTAGTTTTTACAACAGGAAAAAACATTCAAAATTTACTGTGGAGTAAATAAAATGTGATACCGTAATTTGATCTAGGTTTATTCTTCATTCTGGTACATAGTACAGTGACAGTATTGTACTGTGTTTGAAAAAGATGATAAAATTTCCTCTTTTGGTGATTTATTCAAACAGCCTTTCAGAAACATAAAAAAATTAAGGTAAATAATTTTTTTGGTTTTGTTATTTTCCTATCTATCTCTCTATATATACACACATGTTTGTGTGTGTGCGTGTAGGTTCATTAAGAATATTCAAGAATGTAAAAGAGTAATAGTTTATCTATAAAAATATGTTAATAAAATCTTAAATTCCTGGGCAAAAGATTTTTAACAAAAATGGGTTGCTAATAAATACCGAACTCCTTGTTTCTGTCTTTGTCTCCTTTCTATTAATGCTCAGCTTGGTGGCCAAAAGAATCTAGTTCAAACGGATTATGTAACTCTTCCACTCTACACAATCCCCAAATTTCCTAAGTTACTCAAAGAAAAAGCCAAGATTCTCACAAAGCTCTATAAGGCCCTACATAACCTGAACTCCTGTCCCAGTTACTTATTGCCCTATTAACAAACCAGCCCAATGCTTTGCTACTAGAAAAAAATAGCAGAGCATGAATCTGCAATTTGGGCAGAATGCCTTATCTCTGCTCCACTTAGTCTTTTGAGAGTTTAGATGCTGGGACCTAGAATTATGTGAAGGTGGCTCACTCATGACTAGCAGTTGATGCTGGCTATTGTCTGGACCTCTGCTCTTGCTGTATCCAGAGTATGACTACATGTGGTCTTTCCACAGGGCTGCCTGGCTTTCTCAGAGCACAGTAGCCTCCTTTTAAGAAACAGAGCAACATGGGAACTGACCTTTGCTAATCTAACCTAAATGTGTATCTTACAGAATCAGGTCTGCCATATTCTATTTGATAAAAATTGTCATTGAGGCTAAACCATGTTCAAGGAGCTACTCTGGACAGGAAGATTCAAGGAACTACTTTGGACAGGAAGAATGCAAAACAATCTGCAGACTTGATTTAAAGCCACCAGGACTTCCCGAACCTGTGAGCTCATCCCTTACCACTCTCTCTCTTCCTCACAAGGATTCTGTCACCCAGGTTTCATTGGTGTTCTTGCATATGTGACATTACTTCCACTTTTCAAGGCCTTTATAGATGTTGTTTCTATATCTTTTTTTAGTTTAGTTTTTTTTTCTTTTCTTTTTTTTTTTTTTTAAGATAGGGTGTCCATATTTAACCTAGGCTGGCCTTGAACTCATGCTCCTCCTGCCTCCGCCTCCTGAGTGCTGGGAATACAGGCACGCACCACCATACTTGGCTCCTGGAAGGCTCTTCTTCTACAAGGCCTTTTAGTTCACTCTGTCACTTTTTCCTGGTCTTAAGCAAAATGTCATGTTCTCAGTGAGATTTTTCTGGCCATTCAACACTCTCTCTTTCCTCGATTTATTTTGGCTCCATGACCATTATTGTCATCTAATATGCTGTATTTTCTTCTTACTTATTGTCTCCTCCTCCCTAAGAATATAAGCTCCATGAGCACAGGATATATTTTTTTTTTTGTTTTAGTTTTTTGAGACGGGGTCTCACTATATTGCCCAGGCTGGCCTTAAGCTTGCAAGACACCTGCCTCAGCATCCCGACTGCTGGATAGAGCAGGGATTTTTATCAGTTCTACTCACTGCGATATCCCCAGTAAAGACAATAATACCTTGAACACAGTAGTAGCTAAAATCATTTGCTAAAATGAATAAACAACTATTTCAAAATAATGAAAAAGATGTTAACAGTTTTATACTACTTAGAATATTCATTTTTAGCTTTTCTTACATAAAAGTGGAAAGTAAAACCATAAACTTGAATAATTCATGCTTTAAAAATTCAACTTCAAAATAATGAATCTCTTTATAATGAATCTTAATTGCAAAAATACTAACCAAATATGTCAACTATCAAAGTTAAATTTTTGGAGAAGCAAAATTATAATAATTTTTACAAGTATTAAAAAATTACCTTCAATGCACAAAATATGCAGGCATCTCCCTGACAAACATGTCCAGTCAGAACCCGCAAGCTTCGTCGAAATATATCCAATTGCCACAAAACCTAAGCAACAGATATAAGGAAAGAAAGAAAACAGAATGGAATTTTTCTCACTGTAATAAAAAGCAGATTTAAGATATTTCTAAGATTTGCAAAATGTCAATTTTTTAAATCTCCTGTAAATAAAAAATATATAGCCATCAGATACAATAGCATGTATAAAACTATTACACACGTATATCAAAGATGGGATTCAATATTCTTACCAACTCACATTAAAAGTCATGACAGGAATAGAGCAAAGAAAAATTAAGTCCTCCGTTAAGGATCTGATATGAGCAGGAAACGCAGGATACTAAACAGAGGACTTGGCAGAGACATGAAAGAGGAAGGGATTATAATACTGGGAATAAACTGAAATCTAGGAAGGAAATATAATTAGACTTTAAAGCTAAATAGAGGTCAGCATATTGTGGCAAGGGAAAAGTGTGACCAGAAGTGTGTGTGGTCACTCAGTGTAGGCTGGATGAGAAGAGGGTATTTGTGTGGAATGATAAGAAGCAGTAGCTAAGGAACCATCTGAATATGTTTTCTGTAAAAATTCTTTAATCATCTGCTACTAAGAGACAAAGAAAACAAAGAGGAATATAATTGTTAAGGTAAGTCAGTCCAGTCCCTAAAAATCATTCTGCAAAATCTAGTTTCTACACAATGGGCTAATAATATCTGCCTTACAGAGTCCTTGTAAACATGAAATAATATTTAATAATATGTAAGGTGTTTAAAGCAGGGACTGGCACATAATTGGCATGCAACAAATACCACCAAGTATGACTGTGAAGTTCCCCTGTAGCTTTTAGTCATCTCCTCAAATAACGTAACTTAGAAAGCCCATCAATGGTTTCTCATTTCTCCCAACTAAACAAGATTTTAGTAAAAGGTTAATAAAAACAAATTGATTTTAATGGTCCCTCTATTTTCAGCTACTCAATAACTAAAGGCCATTTCTGATTTTCTCTTTGAAAGTTGCTTTTCCTTAAAGCATAACAGGACCCACTTATTTATCATAAATGATTCAGTGTTTTGCAAAGTACTTGGTACTGTTTAATAACTTTCTTGCATAAGATCTTTTAGCAGACCATAAAACACTACACAGAAATCCATTTTCAATGGATTCAACAAAGATGAAGATGAATGAGAGGGGACCTTCAGATATAGAATAGAACTGTGGTTAGTGACACAGCTGTGAAGGCTGATTGCCTGAGTTCTAACTCTGGCTTTACTATTTACCAGCTCTTGGACTGACTTGGATAAAATATTGCCTGAGCCTGAGCTTTCCCGGTAAACTGAGGATAAAAGTTGTACCTATCTCCTGGGGTTGTTGTTAAAAGGATAAAATTAGATGACATATGTAATGTTTGGACAAGCATCTAATGCATAATAAGAACACAGTAAATGTTGGCTATTAAATACAACTTTGCTTCTAACTCAGAAGATTTAATACCACACTAATATGTCAAAAATATTTGATTGAATGCTTTCTATTAAGAGTTTAAAATATTCAGCTAATAGACTACCCTGTATAATCTGTTCATAAAGTTAGTGAAGTCTTTTAAATGTAACTGTAATATGTTCTGGGAATACCAAAAATTTTAAGTTACACTGGATCAAATGACAGAAAAATTACTTTACATGATTTTTATAAAAAACTTCTACAAAACCTATCACAGAATTATTCTAATTAATACTTGTACTTTGCTTAAATGTTGATTATATTCTACCACCTATTTTAAAAATTAATGTCTAAGCTAGTTGTTGGATTAACTTGTTTTTAGCAATCTACACCTCTTTTTCATTACTTGCACAAAGCAATTTAACATTAACCCTAACAAAATTAATGCAAAATTATTTTTTTAACATTTATACATATTGCTTAATTATTCCCCCTACATCAATGCATATATATACAGGCATTTAGTAAAGAAATACAAACTTTGATCATTTTCTTCACTTCAAAACAAGATACAAAAGAGGATGAAATTTGAGCTGGATATGGTGGCTCATACCTATAAGCCCAGCTCCTTGGACTCAGAAACCAGGAGGATCGTGGAGATCAGGAGGACTGTGGTTTTTGGCCAGTTTGGCCAAAAAGTTCGAAAGACTACATCTTAACCAACAAGCCAAGCATGGTTGTACATGTCTGTCTTCCAGTTATGTGGGAGGTGTAAATAGGAACTGTGGTCCAGGCTGACCCAGGGAAAAACATGTTCAAAAAAAAAACTAACCCAAAAAGGGCTGGGGGTGTGGCTCACGTGGTAGAGCACCTGCCTAGCAAACATGTAGCCCTGAGTTCAAAATGCTAGTGCCTCAAAAAGAGAGAGAAAGAAGGAAAGAAAATACAACCCATTAGGCCAAGGAAGGAAAAGAAAAAAAACCTTCAAATGGACACTGAACAAAATTTACACAAATGACAAAATTAGTAGATAACTACATGAAAACAATTATTACAACTGCATCTCATATGCATAAGGGGCCAGAAGTAAGAACAAAGTAGAGATATGCAAGAGATGTTAAATGAAACTTCAGATGTATCTAAGATAAAAAAAATGAATGAGATAAATAGCGGATTAGACATTACAAAGGAAAACAATTAATGAACTTGAAGACACAGGAATAGAAACCATAAATAATGAAAAGAGAAAAAAGTCTAAGAAAGTGAAGAAAACAACAGTTAGCTGTGCAACGACTTCCACCAACTACACAGAATTGGAGTCATCCAAAGAAGGGGAAGAGACAGAAAAGCTACTTAAAGGAACAAAGAGTTTCCAAATTTGATTAAAATTATAAATGCACAAATCCAAGATGCTCAACAAACCCAAACACAAGAGATATAAAGGAAACTATGCCAAGACACAGCATAACTAAATTGCTCTAAACCAGTGATAAAGAGAAAATCTTAGAAGCAACCAGAGAAAAAGGACACATTACATACAGAAAAACAACAATCAGAAGGCTTCATTAGAAACAATGCCAGCTAAAGCACAGAGAAACAAAATCTTTAAAGTACTGAAGGAGAAAAATGTTGGGAGGCCATTAATGCATGAAAATACATCTTACAAAGCCAAGTGAAACATAGATGTTTTTTCACACATACGAAAGCTTAAGAGATGTTAACAAAGATCCTGCAAGCAGAAAAGCATGCCAGATGGAAAGGTAGATATAGTCAAAGGAGTGATGAGCACCAGAAACACTATGTAGAAAAATGTAATATTGGTAAAGCTCCATGGAATGTTCACTTAAAAAAAATACGTGAGCTGGGTGTCAGTGGCTCATGCCTATAATCCTAACAACTCAGGAGGCAGAGATCTGGAGAATAGCAATTAGAAGCCAGTCTGGGCCAATAGTTTGCAAGACCCCATCTGGAAAATACCCAACACAAAAACAGGGCTGGCGGAGTGGCCCAAGTGGCAGAGTGGCCCAAGTGGTAGAGTGCCTGCCTAGTAAGCATCAAGCCCTGAGTTCAAACTCCAGTACTGTAAAATAAATAAATAATTAATTTCCATTTTCTTTACTATAAAAGTTTCTTTACTCATAATTTTCTCATGTTATGATGTGCTTTTGTCTCCCTAAACTATTTATATTTATAATGTGGGAGCTAAAGAAAAAGACAGAAACAGGGAAAATGCAAAAAAGGAAAAGATCTGATACGATAGAAGCCTTTCTGACAGCCCAATTCAGTCAAAAGCATTTAATTCCAGGTTTTGGGTATTTGATACCTTCTTATATCCAGTGCAATAAATATTCTCTTGTTCAATGCCAGGAGAATCTTTGAGCCAGACAGAACACTGACTGCCACTTAAGGGTTCTAAAGTAAACTAGAATCAATGCTTTCCTTATATGGAGTGAGTTAAAGAACTTTCAGGACTGACATCTGTCCCAGTTAGCAGACAATGTGAACACGGTTTGCGTCAGATGTCTGAGCACTTGCCACATTGTATCTGTGTTTATTTATTAAATAAAGTGAGAAATATTTTTGTCTACTGTCAGTTTTCAGGAGAAAAGAAACTGGAACTGCTAAATACAAACCAAATTATACTTAAGAGAGGTTATCTATCTAAAGCAGAAAAGCAGCTAAATAATACATTTGTTAATGAAAAGAATTTCATTTGTTAATTAAAAGAATTTCAAGGACAGAAGCAAATGAATTAACCTTCAATTTAACCACAACAGTGATGCCCAAATTATGATTCCAGAGGTGACTTAAAGGCCACTGAGGAAGGTAAAAGATTAGAGTACTGAGTACTGAGATTAGAAAAAAAAAAAAAATTCTGCATTTCCATTTCTTTTCTTTTTTACATTTCCATTTCAATCCAAAGTAGTTTATTTCTTTTTTTACCCTAGCTACTGGGATCAACATTGGATTTCTTTTTCCCAAAAAAAGGTGGGGATGGAAGTGTAGCTAATTAAAATAAAATTTTATTTTTAGAAATAATTCTTAGTTTACTAAACATTTTAAATAAAAAGGTTTTATATTATAGTCATGTATCATCCTGTTAAAAATTTCCATTTATTACAAAAATCAAAATGCCCAGCCAAAATACTTTTGTCCCCATTAAAAGTGATATTAAGAAGTCACTGTTCTTAATTTAGGTATTAAAGATGCAATAAACAAAGGTTTCCTCCTTCAGATCACTTCACTTCATGGGCACTCTCTCTTGGGAAACACCTCCAGCCCCAACTCTGAGGGCTCAATTCTCCCAGTTTATACTTTCCTATCTCAATAAACTCTCCCGCTTTATTCTCAAAAACAAACAAACAATTATGTCCTGAAAAGTACTTTAAAAACTGTTAAAAGTAATTATGGTCTCACCTGCACTGCACTATTAAGAAAGCAGCTGTTTTGTCCTGGTTCATTTAACAAGCCTTTGGTAGGGGCTAGGGACAGCATACTTCCAGCTTGATAAGCTTTTCCAAGATTGCCACCAGATTTCCGTAAGAATTTTACCCATGCCATTTTCAAGCAATTTTGTTTCCATTAAAGCTAAGAATTATACATATGTAATATTTTAGATGATAAAAGAGATGATGTCTCCAATTGTCCACTTAGATTCACTAAAGTCTGTTTTAAGAATTTAAATTTTCAAGTCTGTAGCTTTCCTAATGTTAGAAATTTTGGAAGACTTTGACAAGTAAAAATAGAATGAGTGAATGCTGAAGTTCCAAGAACTAAAGAGAAAGCTATTTTAAACAAGGCCTTACAAAATTTATGTGTTAAATTTTAAAGGAGAACTACACATTGATGAAAAAACACTTTTAAAACTGCTAAGAACATCGACGAACAAATTATTTTCTTTAACACAGAAATCATTTGCCTTGATGGGGTTAAAAAATACAAATTGATGATACAAAAAGATGCAGAGTTGGCATTTGGCAAGATTCCTCTGGTCATTTGTTTTCCTTATTTTTTTTTTAATAAAAAAGAAGTTTGTCTCTTTTCCAGTTGAAGTTATCAAAGGTGACTTCATATTTCATATCAATATGACCTCAAAGCACATCTACAAAAAAGAAAATAAATGTTTAAGTAAAAATAAAATCAGTTCAAGAAAATTCCTACTTTTATTATTTGAACACAAATTTTTAGTAGAGAATTAAAACTCATAAAAAGGATTAGTGCTAATAACACTTCAAATTATGAACATTTATTTTAGCATTCAATTAAAAAAAGTCAATGACATTAATCACTACTTACCCCAAGATTGTAATATTCAAAGGGTGATTTATAATGAAAATACTCTACAAAAAAACTACAATTAAGTTAGCTTGCAGGCCTCTATATTTGCCAACACTAAATTGCTTCAATAAACAAATACACATACTCTATATTATTTATCTTCTACACAAAATCAAGGTTTTCCAAGAAAGTCAGTCATTTTATTTAAATTGTTACATATAACAACTCAGAAGAAATCTTTACTTGTTAAACAAATCTTGGTGAATTAAATTTCCTTATTCACAAATGCATGCTCTTGGTTTAATAGACTTTAAATGTTAAACTTTTGAATTAAAAACCATTAAGTAGGCCAGCACAGGTGGCTCACACCTATATTCCTAGCTACTCAGGAGGCAGTTCAAAACCATCATGAGCAAATAGTTCACAAGACCCTAGCTCGAAAAACCTACCACAAAAAAGAGCTGGTGGAGTGGCTCAAAGTATAGGCCCTGAGTTTAAGCCCTAGTACCTCCCTCCCAAAAAAACCAAGCCAAAACAAACAAAAAAAACCCATTAAGTATCAACAAAGTTTTGTTTAATCAAATGAATTTCCTTCCTGCATTTTTTACATTCAACAAATAGATCTTGAACCATGTACTTACTGCACCAGGTACTGAAACTAATGTAATGAGGAAAGTCAGACAAATACCACATACCATGACACCAAGATAAATTATAGTGTACTAGAAGGGTTATGTGCTAACAAAAAACAAAGAGGCAGGATGGGAAAAGTGTGTCACACAGGAAGGCTTGAGTTGTTAAATAGGATAGATAAGGAATCTCACTAAGAAGCTTCCATCTGCGACATGATTTGAAGGAGCCACCTGATGGAAGGAATTCCAAGTGAAGTGGACAGCAATTTCAAAGACAGTGAGGTTGGATAATACTTGGTATAGTGGAAATAGTAACAAGCCCAGTGTGGGAGGATGAAAGTTAATAAGGATGAAAGTAGAGAAAAAGAGAGGTTATGAAAAAGACAGATCCCATAGGGGTCTTACAAGCTTTTTGCAAGGATTTTGGCTTTAAACTCTGGGTAAAAGTCATTGAGTTCTGGGCTGGAAGCATGGTTCAAGTAGTAGAGCCCTTGAAGCCCTGAGTTCGATATCCAGGAAAGATCTTTCTAGTTGTGACCTTTGCCACTTCAGAGAATTCACACCCTACACAAAGTCATGAGATAGAGAAACACTGCTACCACCCCAGTGCTAGTGGAGGGAAAAGGAGATTATTACATCAAGAACATAAAGAATACAGGTGACCTGTAAGGTCCCTTAAGCAGGGTAACAAGAAATTAATTTTAGGAACCAACTCTCAAACTGCATCACCCCAATTCAAGCCCCTACAGATACATCCCTCCCTCTACCCTAAGTCTCCCTGAAGTCAGCTGCAGATACACAAATTAGAGCCTAGTCTTTTACCCTTCTCCCCAGGTAAATATGACCAGCTTACAACTTGGCCTGTTGGGAAAACATAACAGACACTTAGAACGTATGAGCACTATGACAAAGGGGAAATGAGTTGAGCAATCTGTAACACAGGAAACAAAGAATAAAGAAAAGAAACAAATTTAAAATAAGCATAATAAATATCTGTCAACTGAAGATATATATAGATTTGAGCCCCTGCTAAAATAACAAACCCGAAGCCTGAGTTAACAGCAAATTGAATAAAGAAGAAGAAAGTATCAGTGAACAATAAATTCAGGTCAAGAAATTCTTCTATGAAATACTAAGAAAGATAAGACACAGAAAATATAAACATGTTTTAAGAACTAAGAGCCATGGATAAAATATAAAACTGTAAATATCTAACAGGACTCCAGAATTAGACTGAAAAATTCAAGCAAACAAAATACATTAAAAAATTCAAACATAATGGGAGGAAGGAAAAGAAGTAGGACAAAAATTGTGAAACCTTAAATGAGAGCAAAAATAAAACTGTACTTTGCAAAAACTAATACAATAGACAAAATTTTTATAAGCCTAATTAAAGAAAAAGACAAATATAAACACCAGTGGAATTGATTAAAGAAAAGTGAGCAGATAAATAAGCAACCAAAACAACTGTAAAAGAATACCACTTAAATCATTTGGAAATGACTCTGAAAGCCTAAAGGAATGTGTAATTTATGAGCAAAATACAAATAATCAACCTTAATCCAAGAAGAAGTGTGAAAATGAAAACCATTAACTAGTTGAGGAGAAAATGGACAGCAGACAGAAGTCCTCTCACTGAAAATGGCACCCAGAACAGACAGACTTACAGTCAAACTTTATCAAGGAACTACTCAATTCCAGTGTCAAGTTACTGCATGGTGCAAGGGAAAACAAGACACAAAGTAGCCCTAAGGCATTTCATGAAAGTAATGTAACCTTAATATCAAAATATGATAAATGGGAAGGGGCTGAGGAGGAGAGACAATGGGGGCAATGTAACTAATGTACAATATAAGTCTAATCGGAATTGTCACTATGAACTCCCCCCATCATGAATATATCCTAATAAAAATTTATTTTAAAAAAATGATAAACCTCAGATCAATGTGACAAGATAACAAATGAAAAAAATTTTAAATAAAACACTAGCACACAATCTACCAATGCATCAAAAGAATAATGTACTATTGAAAAAATAATGACAAGTAGAGTTTATTCAAGAAAGGCAAATGTGAACCTATATTTATTCCTTTAATAAATATTTGGGAAAATGAGCAAAAAAAAAATAAGCTACCACAGCTCAACCCAAATGTTAAACAACTGATGGATGAATAAACAAAATGTGGTGTGTATATATTCTTACAGTGGAATATAATTCAGCCATAAGAAAGAATGAAGTACTGATATATGCTACAGCATGGATGAACACTGAAAACATATTATGAGAATGAAGCCAGTCACAAAAGACCACATATATAATTCTATTCACATGAAATGTTCAGGACAGAACATTAAGTGGTTGCTTAGGACTGGAAAGGTAAGTACAGGCTGAAGGGTTGGGAGGGGGAGTGGTAGCTAAAAGGTACAGGGTTTCTTTTTGAGGTCATTAAAATTAACTGTGCTGATGAGTGTACATTTTTGTGAATATATTAAAAAACCACTGACTTGTACATTTTAAATGGGCAATTATATAGTATGTGAATTGTATTTCAAAAAAACCTATTTTGGGGGGTATATCCCCAGGAGTGGGATTGCTGGGTCATATGGCAAGTCTATGTTTAGATTTTTAAGAAGCCTCCAAATTTTTTTCCAGAGTGGTTGCACCAGTTTGCATTCCCACCAGCAGAGTGTGAGGGTTCCTTTTTCTCCACATCCTCACCAACATTTGTTGTTGGTGGTGTTTTGATGAGAGCTATTCTAACAGGGGTGAGGTGGAATCTTAGTGTGGTTTTGATTTGCATTTCCTTTATGGCTAAAGATGGTGAGCATTTTTTCATGTGTTTTTTGGCCATCTGAATTTCTTCTTTTGAGAAAGTTCTGTTTAGTTCACTTGCCCATTTCTTGATTGGTTCATTGATTTTAGGAGAGTTTACTTTCTTAAGTTCCCTGCATAATCTGGTTATTAGTCCCTTGTCTGATATACAGCTGGCAAATATTTTCTCCCACTCTGTGGGTGGTCTCTTCAGTTTTGAGACCATTTCTTTTGTTGTGCAGAAGCTTTTTAATTTTATGAAGTCCCATTTGTCCATCCTTTCTCTTAGTTGCTGGGCTGCTGGGGTTCTACTGAGGAAGTCCTTGCCTATACCTATTATTAGTTCCACAGTGTTTCCTGCTCCTTCCTATACTAACTTCAGAGTTTCAGGTCTGATACTAAGGTTCTTGATACATTTTGAGTTGATACTAGTACAGGGTAATAGACATGGGTCTAGTTTCAGTTTCTTGCAGACGGATAACCACTTTTCCCAGCAACATTTGTTAAAGAAGATGTCTTTTCTCCATCGTATATTTTTGGCACCTTTGTCAAAAATGAGGTGGGTACAGTTGTGTGGATTCATATCTGGGTCCTCTATTCTGCTCCACTGGTCTTCATGTCTGTTTTTGTGCCTGTACCATGCTGTTTTATTGCTATTGCTTTGTAATATAGTTTTGAAATTAGGTATTGTAATACCTCCGGCATTGCTCTTTTTGCTGAGTATTGCCTTGGCTATTTTCGGTCTCTTGTGTTTCCAAACTCCAGAGGCACCTGCACACCCATGTTTTTATTGCAGCACTATTCACAATAGCCAAGTTATGGAAACAACCAAGATGCCCCACTACTGATGAATGGATCAAGAAAAT